TAAATGAAATATCTACTTTGCAAGTATTGCAAGTTGCCCTGTTGTCATCCGTTCTCGTAAAGTAGAACCAAACTTTTGAGCGTTTGAGCCGCCGTGTTTCCTGCCAGGTAAATGACGCTCCACAACGTGGTGACGTCATTCGGGGCGACTGGAATCGATAAGAGAATCGTTTGCAAAAATGACAAACAATTCCAAGGAACTGAAACAGTGGGAACCGGTTCTCAACAAGAACCGGGTTTCGACACCCATCTCTACTCTTAACTAAAACATTTTGTGTCTTCACTCAGGACAAAGTGGACGCTGGACTTCCAACAGCTATAGTGAGTATTCATTAAGTAGTTCATCTCAACACAAAGAGTGTGTAGTGACTGAATATGTACACCTGCATCAATAATTACAAATATTTTACAATACGAAGGATGTCTGCATGCTACAGACGTGGATCAGCACATAGCAGAACCTGACAAGCAATGACAGCAAGAGCAGAAAGATGACGGCCGTCAGCTGGAGTCACAGCTGATGTGTTTTGTCATTTGTTTTTGTCTGTTTTAAAACGTTTCCATGTTCAGTCTGTTCTGAGCTGTGCGTTCCTGTCTTCAGACAGTGTCGGGCGTCATTGCTGTGGGAACATCTCACGGTCTGGCTTTGGTCTTTGGTAAGTCTGAACTGTAATACTGTCTATTTACATTCACACTGTCAACAATGTTTTTCTTTGAGAATAACTTCATCACTTTATCACCAATGAACCAGAAACAAACCATAAATAGAAGAAAACCCAAAACACTTGACTTACTGATTGACAGGGACCTAGATGTTTGCAGATGCAGATGTTTGTATTGAAGATATACAACAGTGGTTTAGCCAACTACAGCGTTTTACGTTCAGTGTTAGTGTTATTGAGACGCAGATGAAGGATACTCAGTGACTGTCACATCACAGCTAACGGTGGCGTTTTACGTGGCTCTGGCAGACAGTGAGGCCATCATTTAGGACCACATTGGACTGTTCTGCGCTAAGGGGGCGATAGCTCATTTCACTAGTGTAAAAAAGCAGCTTGGAGCAGGCCAACTGTGAGCTCGCTCAAAAACTGGCATCAGTTTGAGTACATGTGGAACGTGTCAATCCAGGTTTGATCGTTTAGCGATGAAGATGCTGATGACTTGATGAAAGTGCATGCGCTGCCTTTGCATCGACTGAATGTGTCTTTACACTGGTCAAACATATCTGTGGAAAAATGTTTGTTATAGTAAAGATGAATATGTGGCTCCACAGTCTTTAATCAGTTCATTTACATTAGTTTAGTGTAGCGATGTAGTAATAAAGGATAATGTAACGCTACGGCTTCAGCGTTACATTACAAATGGGAAATGAACTGTATGAAATTTTAAAAGCAGAATGTGTGTTGCACAAAGTCATGATGTTTTCCTGTGTACGTCACAACTGACTTCCTGACTTGCTTGAATAAAGACCGTCTCTGTGCTTCTAAAAATGGGATTGAATTTGATTTATTTCATCACAACTGTAAGTAACCATTTGTTATCAGGAAACATTAACATGATTATTAGAACTGCATTTCACAGTCAGTATCATAGCAACAACAGTTACATTGTAACTAC